CGACCAATCGCAAAAAATGCATGTGGATTTACTATAGGCTATTTCTAGACATACGCTGGTAATACGCTATAAATACTTCTAAACAATTAAAACAAACGACCATAACCACAATGAATGCTGGTGTAGCCTACGTTGCGAACAGAACATAGGCTACTTAATGAAATTATACGCTTGTCGCCCAACTGATACTTTATTAAAGCTTACAAGTGGCTACAGTTTACAAGTTGATTAAACACGTAATACAATTGCCATGCTTATGAATTGATTGAAAAGTGTCGCACGTTGTAAAATATATTGATCATGTCACGAAAATAATTCACGATGCGTTGGTATGAGAGGTGGTGTATTTGTGGTCTGCGTGCTGGAATACTCAGTGTTTTGGAGCTGGTGACATGAGGGTGTGGCACTGCCAATTTGCGCTGCTTTGTGAAACTGACGAGCATTTTAACACCACAGTGTCGTTTGTTATTAATCTAAACTGCATTAGCATTTCGGTGCATTAAATTGTTTCTTTTCTTTCTTTCTTTCTTTTTCTACGTAAGCTATGTCTTAGTCTAACAACAAAATATTTGTATAGGGCTCCAGGATGTAGGCCTATCTTTAGACAGTCACAAGCTAACCGCAAACTCAGGAAATTATTAGAGAAGTGAGAACTTTGGGGGACCCCCGCCGAAGGGCTATGCAATATGAAAGAAAAAAAATGTCAGCTTAATACAAAGTAAAATTTACAGATAATAGTTTAATCTGTTTTTAAATAGTGTTGTAGTATAGTCTATAATATGCACTTTTCTCATACAGAGCGAAATCGCTAACTAACTGGTCCTAAACAGGACTTCAGGATCTTGGTTTTGGCATATGAGAAAATAAGGTTACGCACAGGCAATAAAATGTTTTGGCAGCAGCAACCTCAAATAATAGCTGCATGCACATCTTCGTTTTCATTATCATCAATATGCTCAGCCAGGAGGAGAGCAGTCCCTCTGCGTCCTGTGATCTTCCAAACCACGCCCACGCCAAGCCCCGACCAATGGGCACCGCCAGGGTTTCTGGGGCCCCGTGTGTGAAATGCAATACTTAAAATGACCGGGGCCAGTTGCATAAACTCAAACTAGCAGTTAACCAAATGATAATCAGTCTTACTTTTCGGATTCAAATTAGACCAGTCTACGTTTTTATGTTTTGAAAAGTTATGACCAGTCTTGCAGGGGAAAAAAATAGATAACTTACTAAGGCTAGTCTAAACAGTGTGCACCAGGCCACAGATGTCGGACATTTTCTAATATTTAGACATGATGTAAGCTTTTTTCTTAAGTTAAATAGGTATTTTTATAAAATACTTTTAGAGTAGCCTACAATAGAAAATCTACTTGTCGAGATTCTTGTGGGCGGGTCTTGTAGTCTTGTTTTAAACCACGGCCATATGATTTGACGCTGATGCACAAACATCCCGGCAGGTGGCGCTGCAACCACAACATATGTGGACTGACACACACGAAGAAATTCACTATGGAATTCACTCATGCATCTTCCGTAGTCTCTACTCTCTAGTAACAGCATTAAGCAAGCAGTCTTGTGTGATATTAAAATATGAACTATACACATCCAATGACAGATAAAGAAGGGGAAGGAATGAGCCACAAAACAAGAAAGGAAGTCATACACACCTTTCAAGTCAACTTCTTCGCCACGAGTCTTTTAAATACATTTCCATGGGATGTAAGTAGAACATTGCAACATGCCCTAATGTATTAAGACATTTTTTCAGATGATTTGTACAACTATTTATATATCAGCTGTGAGCTGCGTTTCTTTTTCTCTCTTTTTCTTTCTTTCTTTCTTTCTTTCTTTCTTTCTTTCTTTCTTTCTTTCTTTCTTTCTTTCTGTCTTTCTTTCTTTGGTTTTGTTTTTCAGGAAAGTAAATTAACAGTTGTAATGTTTATATGTTTTCTCTGTATCATCTCTACATGCATAAATAACGCAATGGTTTTTGCAGTCTTTAGACAGAGAAATTATGACTACAACAACTTCAGACATCATAATGGAGATTCTTCAGAAGGTAAGCAAGCCATTATGAAAGTGAAATAATTATTTAATGGATAAAATTAAAGTTTTTTTTTCTCTCTTTTTTTGGTAGACATGTTTACATCCCATTTGCCTCAAGAATCCCCCCTCTTTGAAATACAGAAGACGCTTCCTGACAGAATTGATCAAAAGGGTTGGTTTAGTGTCTTTACAAACAAGCATGTTTTACATTTTTCCCCCACATATTTTGAGATACAGCATATTTTCATGAAGGCTCATTGTTGTAGCATGAGATGTTGGCTGCTGAACCTCTGGATGTACTGTATGAAGCGCTCGGAGAGGTCATGTGTGCACAGGAGGAGGACATGTGCTACAAAACCTACTTATTGGTGAGTCTGATCACATTAGCACTGGACCTTAAAGATTTTTATACCTTATAACAAAACATAATATCAGAAAGTGTCAAATCTCAGCCAACAGGAGATGCTGTTAGTCTAGCAGAGAACGTGGCTCTCATCTCCCAAGGAACCACAGGTCTGGTTACCTGGGAGGCTGCCCTGTATCTGTCTGAATGGGCTTTGGAGAATACACACATCTTCGAAAACAAGTAAATCTGACACCTCACAACTCCATGCCATTTTACTTGTGATTGTTGTTTATGTGGGATACAATTATTTAGAAATATTTAAGATGCACTATTTCTCTGTCATTCAATCAAATAAACTAATTTGTGACAAAATACAAAAATTCTAATAAGCTAATGTAAATTCACTTGAAATATCCAAATGATGTGTCATTAGTAACCCTTTGAAATAATCAATACTTATTTTTTGTATTATTATTATTTATTTTTTTTTTTTTTAAGTGTGTGAAAAATTGTGTTTTATGGTCGATCACAATTGTGACCAGTGGGATAATGTGTGTGCTGAATTAACATTTTTCTGCAGTCATAAAAATTACTATATATCTTAGCCCAGCTATTTTAAATTGTTTGATCACATTCTAGGGTTACTATTATGCGTCAAAAAAAACTTATACAACATTGATAGGAACACTGAGAAAAAAGACAAAAAAAATAAAAATATGCAACCATCACATCAACATACTTCAGAATTGTTACTTTATTGTAACATATATCATAACATTTTTATATTAGTGCTACCAGTATTACAACATCAATATTGTGACTTATTTGTTACATTTGAACTTTTAATTTAGTGCAGTATTTTGTCATTGCAACATTTTAGTGCAGTTTTCACTAACAACTGCAATTGGATTTATATTGTATAGGCTACCTAAATTCACTGTTATCCCACCGGTCACTATTGTGACCATCAAGATGTTTACTCATTCTATGACCACACTCAACAAAACTGAATATATGTGAATTCATATTTGAATACTAGACATCCTAAAGATAATGTGTAACAAAACTTTGTCATATCTTTGTTTACATATTTCGTTTTGGAGCTCTGATGCAGCCATCATCTTCTCAAGGTGCAAACAGGAATTAAACTGCTTTGGTCATGTGACAATTTGCACTAACCATGTGAAACTGCACATATTTAATTGAGACACTTTATTTTTTTTCCATATTTGCAGCAAGTTGTTTTTAGAGCTTTATAAATGAAAACCTTTTTTACTGTCACTATTGTGACCGGTGGGATTAAATGGGTTAATCATTTATACATAGTTTCTCATACTATTTTATGTACAATGAAAGAATGACTGCAGCTACTTATGAAAGATTAATTGAAATGGCTTTCTCTATTTAGTTAATGGTTTGACTTATTCCATTTGCATGCAACTAAAAGTGCACACTGTTGATCACCTCCGTGTTGTACATGCAGGACAGTGCTAGAGCTGGGCAGCGGAATTGGACTTACTGGCATTGTAGTGTGTCGGTCATCCAGCCTAACCAAATACATCTTCAGCGACTGCCATCAAACTGTCCTTCAGAGGCTGAAGGACAATATCACAAACTGCTTAACTAACTGTGACGGCAACAGTGCGTCAGTGTGTGTGGAGGAACTGGACTGGGAAAATGTGTCTGACGAGCAGCTGCAAAGAATACAGGCCAACACCATCATTGCCGCAGGTGACACAAAACCCAGGGATATTTGCAGGAACACACACACGTTACAGTTTCATATGTGATTTATTTTCATTCATTGATTAAAAGGTCTCTGAATCTGATCACATGAAGTTATGATGTTTGAGAAGTTTTGAGTAACATTACTGTGTTTGTTTGAAACAGATGTGGTGTATGATCCTGATATAATTGCTTGTTTGGTGAGACTGCTGAGCAGGCTTCTGAACTGCAAAGTTGAAGAAGAACATCCTGATGTTTACATTGCATCTACTGTACGCAACCCACAGACGTATGACTGCTTCAAGAAAGAATTAGGTAGGTTTCATTTTATTAATAACATTCTATTCTGTTCTATTAATGTCAAATGTTTTCTTAATCCCTGATTTCCCATAATGAATGAAATGTTTCTTTTATTTACAGAAATGGCTGGACTGAGACACGTCGTCATGAAAGATTCTGTCGCTCAAGTATTTCCATACAACCGAGCCTCCACTATAGAAATGATCAAAATATATGTATGACAAAAACGATCTCTTTGTAATAAAGTATTTATTTACATAATATTTACAAAGATAGTGTGCTTTTTATTCTCATATTCAAGTCTTTCCCAATGGCATTGCTGGAATGCTGATTGTCCCGTTGTGGGGACAGTTAGCTTAAAAATATGTACCCTGTGCAAATACCTGACAGTAACTTTCCATTGAATGGGAGTCAAAGGATTTGAGAGAATGTTATATAAACCCAT